GTATTGCCAACTGTTATGTAAATCACTTTCATCCAGTAAGTGCTAATTGCATGTCAACTTGTTTGTTCAACTGACTGGTTGTTTATTCAACAGTTATCTCATAATTGATTAGACAATTGGATTAAAATGGTATTATTGTATGAAAATTAAATAAATTAATGAATAATAGTGTATGACAAAATGAATAATATTGTAAAAAAAATGAATAAATAAATAAAAAAGAATATGTATGAAAGGGTTTATAGAATATACATATATAATTTATCTACTTATTGTAATAAATAGAAAAAGAACAATATTTTTTATCTTACTTACAAATGTTGCTAACAAATTAAGTCAACTTACAGGTATCATATGATATGTGTTGCCAGAGTTCCCACATTTATCCCAATTAACTGCAGCATAATTATGATCAGTGGCGGATTAATTCCCGGGCTTAAGCGCTGCAGCCTCCCCACCCTCCCTGCCCAAGCACGGCCCAATGATATGTTAACCAGATGGGCTGGAATATATTTTTATCAGTTTCAAACTTTATTTGCTGTACTGTAGTGTTTTCCCTTATCAAAACGTTTATTGCTGTTATCCAGTTGTTAATCTCCTGCCTTGGGGCTGGGCAGAGATCTTTATCTACCAACATGCTTGAATGACTTCAATGTTTAAACTATATAATTGATTGGTTTATAACTTTCCAAAGGTCTCGCCCATATGGTCACTTTCCGGTGGCGAGGATAAACAAACCCAAACACACACAATTCCAAAGGTCTAATGAAATTAATAGTCACAGAAAGTGGTAAATAGGTGTGTTACATAGTACACCATATTTAACTATCTTTGTTTTTCCATTTTCTTTTGGAAAGCCCTATACATAAGAAATTGAAAATTATGGCGAGTTTTATAAAGATAATATTAAAGGAATCACGTTTTAATAACTAGCTATTAAGATGAAATGACATATTATTTTTAATAATAGCTTTAAATAACTTTTAATGGCAGTTATATTTTTAAAATACAATTTAAATTGTATTGACCTGTTTAGTCATAACTAAATACATTGATGGAAAACATTCTTATTACTTATAACTTAAAACATTCTTATATTCTTATAACTTGGCCTGTGTGTTTGACGTCATAAGGCCAAACAAAATGATCTTGAGGTTCTGGTAACATGCTGAAAAATAATAGGGTAGTTAGGTCGCAAAAACACTTTTTAATGTATGTTTTAATATTTAAATTTGACATATAGAACATTATTATTATTATTTTAGTTGATTTATACATGTAAAAGTATCGGATACATCAAACGCGAGAACTTCAATGGAGCAGTCATAAAAGAAATAGCAGAAATAAAAGCAGTCAAAGGATAATAAAGGAAGTTGAATACCATTTTATTTACGTAAAGAAAAGCGAAAAAGTAGCGCAAATATAGGCCGGTCAGTAGAGAAAGCCATTGATCCTACTTGCTGTTGAATTGTTACTAGGTTTCTGATTTGTACCGAAATGCTAAACAATGCATAAAAAGAGAATATAAGATAAATTTTGAAAAACAAAGACCATGTCTGTAAATGTTTTCTTCCTACAATAAATATACGGATACAACAAATCACCGATTCAAATAAGGACGATGCCAAGCCTATATACCATGGATTGGAACTTCATGTTGCTGTTAAATTAACCCCCAACTGTTGCAATAACTAAACAAACCGAAACGGAATCATACACAACGTGTTGTAAACAGAAGGCTCCAAAATTGGTGTAAACACTTCATATACTTAAAGAACAAATTCTTAAATGGTCGCCTTTTGACAAGGAAACTTCTTATAAATGTCTATTTAATTTAGTAAAGGATTTAAAATGACCTGAAAGTTCAACAGACAACAAAAGACAACAACAACAACAAAATATGCGGGAATGCGTTTATATACAGAGTTGCTGAACTTAGAAAGCTGTTCTTGCTGATCCGTTTTAAAAGATTGTTTCATATCATTCACTTATTCTGTGACATTTCTTTTTATATCTTATTATTTTAATCATGTTGAGATCAAATAAAACATCTAAACACATTCTTATTTGAAGAAGGCGACAATTTTACAAGAAATTTTACTCCATCGGGCGGACAGGTATGTAATGTAACAAAGATTGATAATGGTATGATATGAAAATGAAACAACTCTTCAAATATTCTAAACAAATATTATTTATGGTTTGGAAGCACAAGGCGTTTTCATCTTTGACAATGTTTCCGTCAAGTAAGAGGAGTAAAACATAAACACTGACAACAAAATATACATGAAACATTAATATATTGGGTACACAGTTTAAATTGTATGTAAAATATCTTGATTTGAGAATCATTTTCAAAATAATTTCATATCTTATTGTCCAATACATCACCTGTGTCTCTTTACTTGTTAAGATGAGTTATGAGTTAAGATTTTCTGCAAAACCTTTACTCCGTTTGCTAGGGGGAGGATCGCTGTCGCCTTGTCCTCGTGTACGATCGTATGCATGATGTTCTGCATTTTTTAATAATTTATCGTTTTCTGCATTAGATTCACTTTTGCTGAGCACCAATCCAATAAGACTAAAGAGGACCATAAATTTCATCAGTTGCTTTATTTTTGTTTAAGTCTGCACCTGACCTGAGAAAAAAACATTTGATGAATTAGAAATACAAATAAGTTTTAAAGTCAATAAGGGAGATTAAAGTAACGGACGTTAAGCAAGGTCGGGGGGGGGGGCAACGTTCACTGAATACATATTCTTTTACACCAGAATACTGCAAAGGCAACACAAAAATCACACACAAGTGTTTTGCCACATGTATAATTAATTTATTATGAGTAATTGAAAATCTATAAATTAAAAGATACAAAAATAAATGGAATGATGAGAGAATTAGGTAGTGCAAGAAGGAAAGACAGGTAAAAAAAGAGCATAGTCAATATTAAATAAGAAAAGACATACATGTGCATACAACCCATCTAACAACATCTTTTACACGAGAAGTACACTTCAGCAGGGTATAAACATACTAGTTGTATTTGATTTTGATCAAGAAAAAAATTAAGTAAAACACACTCCTGGTTTTTATCCTAAATATTTCATTTTCATTACACATTGAATTCCAAGCGTGACATCTGAAACGACAACGGTCTAAAAATGCAACAATTTCTGCGATGTTTATATAAATATCCCTGTCTATTGTGTAGAAATTATTAAAAACCAGACATTCGTGCGTTTAACGAAGGACAATTAATCGGCCAGCAGACAAATGTTAACAGATGGCCGATTCAAAGACAGAAAATGACGGCAAAGAGAGCGGAAAAGTGCCTTGGCGTTAGTAACGTCAATTGCAAAAGCGCTGAAGAGAATATTTTTCAAATGATATTTCTTTCACAACTAAAAATAATTATTTTGTTTAAAAATTGATAATTTACCGAAAAAAGACTTAGAAAGTGAGATAAAGAGAGTAGAGTGACCCACTCTCCGACCTTTATGCGCTTAATCATCACAAACAGAAACTTGTATGCTTACATGATCTAGAGACTCGGGAGAGTCCTTTTTAAAACAATGACGTTCTTTCATTTTCTAATTTAATTATTTATTGTGCGATGTCATGAATTTCTTGTATTGTATTGTTAGCATGCGCCGGGTCACATACCTCTTGTTATTTTCACAGAATTGTTATTTAGAAACACAATGTATTGATATTGATTTTTTCAATGGGTATATAAAGGATGGTTGATATTTGTCTCTTGTTAGATCGTATTTGTTAATAAAAGGTTGTGAACATTAGAGCAACAGTCTGCACACTTTTTGAACATGCCCCGTTTTTGTTGTTTTTGTTTTCTTTTAATTTGAAATTTCACGTACATATCTTCAAAATGTTTTTGCTTTGTGATATTTTAAATAATTAAATTTGTAATTTTAAACTAAGAGTTAAAATACTCTTTATGTTCTCATATATATATATTTATGAGACATAACCGATGTTTATGAAACATTTTTAGTAAAGAAACATTAAAAAGACATTTGCTCTGCTGTTAGTTTTAAGAAGTACTCTTTAAAATATCATTGTAATATTAACGTCACTTTAGTATTTTCTTTCCAAAATATTGTCTCTGAAATTTGAGTTGTTATATGTTAACAATTGATGTTTCTATTCAGAAATTTATCTTTGCGAATAAAGTGTTACTAAATGCAGCATCTTATGCAAATATTCCATCGTCTAAATACTTCATTGTCTGATCAAGTATTAACATATAAAAGCCTATGTCGTGAATATCACGATATCATTAGATAATTTACTATTTAAGCGGGAAAAATATTTTATTTTCTGTTTTTGCTCCTTGCCATGAAATTCATCATTTTCATGTTATTTACAATTTAAGTAAATGGCGGGAAAATTCTTTATATTTTGTAAACTCCTTATCACGGGGTTGTGCTTTTTATGTATTTTGCTCCTTGCCATGAGATTCGTGATTTTCATGTTATTTACAATTTAGATATATGGCGGGAAAAATTCTTTATATTTTGTAAACTCCTTGCCACGAGATTTGTGCTTTTTACGTTTTTTCTTAGGCTCATGGCGGGAATAGTAACTTGTATATAAAGGTTGTAGTTGTACGTAAGATGGTTAGAAGTGATAAAGGACTGTTAAAAAATATATTAAATGTTTGGATTAAGTTTTATAATTATTAACTTTGAAATTAAATGAGTTAAATAAAATGTTAAAATATTTTCGGTATTGGAGTTTTTTATTCTGTGGAAATAAGATGAATTAAATCAAATATCAGTGTGGAATGGGCATTATAATTCAGTCTTATATAAAGGAAACCTAAAAGTCCACCACATTGAATGGCGCCGGAACCCGGGAACGGAACGAGGGATATTTAAACATTAGAGTAAATTAATAATGTGAAGTGTGTTTATGAAATTCATTCGTATGGAAATCTATATTATTTAAAGTCACGAATCGGGATAGATCATAGAATAAGAACATGGCGAAAGTGACTTCGATGAAAGCAGTGCGGACTAAATACCGGAACATACTTGACAAGGAAAACACTAATGCCAAGGTAATAGCTTCTTCTGATATTAATAAAACTGATTTGAACATTTGGTTACAAGGAGCAGGCATGTGTTTAAGTCTTTTGAAGACTTACAGTGTTAAGTTAGAGGAGCAAATGGGAAAATTAAGTACTGCACTGATGGAGAAAGAAACTGAGTTGGCAGAAGAAATAGTTGACGACGACTGTCACTTAATATTTGAGACAGAGAAAAACATTTTTGATTTGAAACAATTAATTGATATAGTTCAGAATGAAAAATTGAAAAGCGAAACGGAAGCTGCAAAGCATATAGATAAAGATAGTGATAAAAAGATGCAAGAAGAAATGCATAAGATGATAATGATACAGTTAGAGCAACAAAGAGAATTCTTTGAGAGACAAGATAAAAAGATCAGTGCAGATAAGGATTCAGTAAAGTTACCTAAGCTTGATTTGTTTTCCTTTAACGGAAATAAGTTACAGTGGGCTGCTTTTTGGGACACTTTTGAATGTACGGTTCATAAGAACAAGAAATTATCTAACATAGAGAAATTCAGTTATTTACTGAATAAGCTTTATGGAGAAGCTAAACGTGCTGTGGCTGGCTTAGCTTTAACCAATGAAAACTATGCTCTTGCTGTTGGAATACTTAAAGAAAGATTTGGCAATGAGCAAGAAATAGTTGATATGCATTATAATGAACTCATGAATGTTCCTCTTGCAAAGAATAATGTGGAAAGTCTTACTCATTTTGTGGATTCTATTGAAAAACATTTGAGGAGTTTGGAAGTACTAAAAGAAAATGTAAACCAACATGTTTTTGTGTCAATGATTAGATCAAAGTTGCCACAGGAAGTTTTACGACAGCTTGAACTAAAGAAAGGAAGTAAAACAAAATGGACAGTGCAAATTCTTCGAGAAGAATTGCAAGAATATGTGACTGCTTGTGAACATTCAAAGGTTAAGGCAACGGATAACAACAATGAACAAAGACAAAGACGTGATGATAAACACACGTTACACAATGCTAGACAACGAGGTGATTTCAAAACGAGTTACAGACAGAGTGATAATAGACAAGGGTCTTTTGTTAACAAGCCACAGAATTCATCAGAACCTACATTTACAAGCAATGTGGCCAATACAAAAAAGACTCTTTGGAAGAGTAATCAATGTCGATTCTGCGACAAAAATCATTACAGTGATGAATGTCCTAAGTATCGTTCAATTGATGAAAGGCAGAAACGAATAAAAGGGAGTTGTTTTAAATGTTTGAGAGATAACCATATCACAAGTGAGTGCAAATGGAATAAAACATGTGTTCATTGTGGGGAACAAAATGCACATCATCGAAGCTTATGTCCGAAGAAATTTAAATATATAACAAAACTTGAAAGTGCAAAGCTTTCTGAAGAAGTATATACTGTGAGCAAAATGGATGCTACACCCATTGAAAACGCTATGGTTTCTTCGTCAGAAATGGTGTTAATGCAAACAGCAAGTACGTATGTAAAGAATCCAAAATCGTCTGTGTCGCAACATGTCCGTATTCTTTTGGATTGTGGTTCTCAACGGACTTACATTACACAAAGGTTAGCAGACGCGTTGGGTTTAAAAGGTGAAAAAGAGGAGAACATAAGTTTAATCACATTTGGTAATGAAAATCCAACAGTGATAAAAACAAAATCTACTACTTTGTGCTTAAAGTTGAATGATGGAACTTTTATGGAAATACAAGCAAATATAGTTCCAGTGATAAGTGGAAATATTGAGAGAAAACAATTAGACTTCACAACTCACGAAAATTGGAAACATCTTGTGAAAAGCTTAGATCTAGCGGATACAATTCCAAATGAGAATGAACAGACGAGTATTGAACTATTGATTGGCAATGATTACTATTTAGACATCATTATGTCTCAAAGAATAGAGATTGAACCAGGATTATACCTCTTAGGATCAAAATTAGGATGGATTTTAACTGGAAGAACAAAAAATAACGATGTTTATAGTGAAAGTGTTAGTATGTTCATACTTACATATGGTAACAATATTATAGAGAGAAGTTGTTTTCAGTGTGTTGATGATACAATCAAATCCAAACCTGATCTTCAGGATTTTTGGAATATAGAGGCTATCGGTATTACAGATAACCCTTCACTTTCAGATGATAAAAAAGCAATGTCAAATTTTCAAAATACTTTGACTTTTAAAGACAGTAGATATCAAGTCACCTGGCCATGGCGAGAAGAAAATCCCCCTCTACCAGTGAATAGAGAACTAGCATACGGTAGATTAAAATCGTGTGTAAAAAGAATGAGAGATAAACATGATCTTATGACAAAGTATGACAAGGTTATTAAAGATCAGCTTCAAAAAGGAATCATTGAAAAAGTTGATGACACAATGATCGAAGGAAAAAAGCATTATATACCTCACCATGCAGTTCTCACGCTGCAAAAAACAACAACAAAACTTCGTGTTGTGTATGATGCTTCAGCAAAAACAAAACCCGATTACAAAAGTCTTAACGAGTGCTTATTACGAGGTCCTGTCATGTTACATGATTTGTGTGGAATTCTAATGCGATTCAGATTACATGAAATAGCATTGATATCAGATATAGAAAAGGCTTTTCTACAAATTGGACTTCAAGAAAGTGAAAGAAACGTCACGCGGTTCATGTGGATTAAAGACCTTCAAAATCTTACTGTAAGTCCAAACAATATTCAAGAATACAGATTTTGTAGGGTACCCTTCGGAGTGATATCAAGTCCTTTTCTTTTAGGAGCAACTATAGAATCACATCTTGGAACGTATACAAGTGACAACGCAGTCAAACTTACACAGGACATTTACGTAGATAACATTATTACGGGAACAAATAGTGAAAGTGAAGCCATTGAATTCTATAAAGAAGCAAAATCAATGTTTAATGACGCCTCTATGAATTTAAGAGAATGGTTATCAAATAACGATACAGTAAATGGATGTTTTACTGAGGATGACAGAGCAGAAAGTAAAGAAACAAATGTGTTAGGACACGTTTGGAATCATAAGAATGATACATTAGTAATCAGACAGCCAAAATTGTTTGACACTGAAAAAAGTGTAACAAAAAGAGTCATTTTAAAAGCAATTGCCTCAGTGTTTGACCCATTAGGTTTATTCTCTCCTGTTTTGTTGAAGGGGAAGGTTCTACTCCAAAAATTATGGAGCAGAAAAGTTGACTGGGATGATCCTGTAATAGATGATGATATCAATAAAGAATGGTTATCTTTACGATTTGACATGGAAAGACTTTCAAGATACCCAATCAATAGATGTGTTAGTCTAAAAACAAACCAAAAGGATATTACTTACAGATTGATGTGTTTTTGTGATGCGTCTTCGGCTGCGTATTCAGCAGCTATTTATCTTCATCAAGCACATAAGAGCCAATTTAGAGTGAATCTCATGTTTGCTAAATCGCGTTTAGCTCCTATTAAAGGAATGACAATACCACGTTTAGAGTTAATGGCAGTCCTCATTGGCATGCGGTGTCTTAAGTTTGTTACAGAACAATTACATTTATCTATAGTTCATAAATATTTGTGGACGGATTCAAAGTGTGTATTGGATTGGATAAATTCAGATAAGCATCTTCCAGTCTTTATTAGGAACAGAGTAGAAGAAATAAAAGTCCATAAAGACATAACAATATCATATGTGAAAACTCAGGAAAACTCGGCTGATGTTGCTACACGTGGATCAACCTTGGAAGACTTATACGGAAATCAGAAATGGTGGAATGGTCCAAGTTGGTTGTTACGAGATTTTGAGGCCTATGTGAAAGATCCCTTGACATGTTTAGAAAATGATCATATTGACACTTTGGAAAACGAAACTAACATGATTAGTGTGAACAAAACAAAAAATAAGATTTATACGAGTGGATCTCCCCCTTTTCAAATAGATATAGAAGCTTACTCCTCATTGACAAGACTTCTTCGTGTGACTGCTCTTGTTATACGCTTTGTTAAAAAACTTAGGAAAGAACCTAGCGAAAATGGAACACTGAAGACAGAAGAAATACAAAACGCCGAAAACAAGTGGTTACTCCATATTCAGAGAAAACATTTTCTAGATGTGTTTGAAGGATTCGCAAAAGGAAAGCCAACAAATTTACAAACTCAGTTGGGACTTTATATTGATGAATACGGTATATTGAGGAGCAAAGGAAGACTTGAACATTCTTGTCTCACTGAAGGAGCAAAGTATCCTATTCTTCTTCCAAGTAAAGATAAATTTACATCACTTATTGTTGAAAAGACACACAAACAGTTCTTACATACTGGTGTGTCCCAGACACTTTCTGGAGTACGCAACAAATATTGGATCCCTCATGGTCGCACAACAGTTCGGCATACTGTTAAAGCATGTAATGTTTGTCGTCGTTACGAAGGAAGTCCTTACAAAATGCCATCAATGCCATCAATACCAAAGATGAGAGTTAATAAATCTAGACCATTTAGTTACACAGGGTTGGATTATATGGGGCCGTTACTCATAAAAAGTTACGTTGGATCTAAAAAAGTATGGATATGTTTATTTACATGTCTTGTTACGAGGGCAATTCATCTTGAGATAGTTTTAGATATGACAACAGAAGAATTCTTAATGTGTATCCGACGATTCATATCGCAAAGAGGAACACCTCTTCAAATAATTAGTGATAATGCGGCTCAATTCAAGTCAGCAAGTTCCGTTATCAATAAGATATGGTGCAATGTTATACATGATGAAGATGTCCAAAGTTATGTTTCAACCGCTGGCATTCATTGGTCTTTTATTGTAGAACTCGCCCCATGGATGGGTGGGTTCTATGAAAGGCTTGTTGGCATAGTGAAAAAAGCATTAAGAAAGGCTATAGGTAGGAAACTGCTCAGTTTGATTCAAATTCAAACGCTACTTAAAGAAGTTGAATCTGTGGTCAATTCAAGACCATTAACATATATAGGTGATGACATTAATTCAAATATCACGTTGACACCGAATCACTTTCTTACTTTAAATCCCACAACTGGCATACCTGAAGAACAATTTGATGAAAAAGATGTTGATTACATACCTATTGAAAGTACTCAAAATAACTTATTGAAGATATGGAAAAAGGGACAAAAAATATTAAATTCATTTTGGAGAATATGGAGAGAAGACTACGTCATGAGTCTTCGTGAAAGAATGCAATCTTCTCTTAAATCAGGAAAAATGAAGTCTCTATTGCAAGCAAATATAGGAGATACGGTTTTGATAAAAGATGATTTACCTAGAGGATGCTGGAGACTCGGTTTGATTATTGAACGTGTGATAAGCCATGATGGTAATATACGCTCTGTAAAGGTAAAATTAGCTTCTGGTAGAGTTTTGAATAGACCATTGAACTTGCTTTACCCACTAGAATGTTCACATCAAGAACAGGATCAAACTAGGTCGGATTCGACTATATGTGATAGAAAAACGTATGAAATACTAAGGCCAGTACGCGAGGCGGCTATTCGAGCGAAACAGAAGATAAAAAGTGTTTATCTATGAACATTGTTTTGTGATTTAAATTGTCACTTATCGAAAGAATTTGTATTATATTACAGAACATGTGTTCTAATTTGAAGAATGATGTCCGTATTGATATTTCTTGTGTTGTATTATGGGTATATTTATTAATATGTACACAGAGCGTGCACTTGTAATATATAACACAGACACGTGTTACTAGTTCTATAGTTTAATGATAACTCAATATTCCAAGTATATAAGTGGCGGGAAGATAATGGACATGCGCATTACAGTATAAGATATTATTAAAATGAAACATATGTTTACAATATACAACATTCCCCTTGTTTAAAAATATTTAAAAATATAAGCACATTTAGAATATTTCAAATTAATCTGTAAAAAACATGTATTTCAGTATATCAAATATAATTAATGATCTTTTAATTATGACATTGAAATATACATGTATTATTAATATATACAAGCAAATTTTTTAATCCTTTCTAAATGTCACTGATTTACAGTTTTATTAATGGCTATTTCAACAATTCAACAATTGTTATCACTTTGTCCAATCTTTTCCACAGTAAAGCTTATTCGGTTTCACCTCTCTACCTGACCTAGTGATTGTGAATGGTTTCGATTTACCTGGCACATTTGCAAGAGATAGGGACTCTGTAGGGGTATTTTGAATTGTTTGTTCACTTAAAATAGATTCCTGGTGTTCATCGACTTTAGATGGTTGCTGTGTTTGTTTCGACAGGTCAGATAATTCAGGAGCTTTGTTTAGGAAACGGCGATTTCTACGATAAACAGCACCGTCAGGGGTCTGCACTTGAAATGAGTGTTCATTATGCTGGGTTATAACCTTGGCTGGTTCCCAGTACTTATCTTTTCGAATTCTGACAGATTCACCGATTTTTAGAGGTTTCATTTTGTGCGCATTTTTATCATAATGATTCTTGCTTATAAATTGTAATTCTTCCATTTTCTTTCTTGCTTCACAATGATTTACTGTTTGTGGCAGAAGCTGATTGTTAGTTGTTGGGAGAAGCGACTTGAGGCGTCTGCCCATTAAAAGTTGAGCGGGTGACCATCCACATTTAAGTGGTGTATTCCTATATTCTAAAAGGGGCAAATAAGGATCTTTATTATCATCCTTAGCTTTCTGAAGAATGCGTTTTGCAATTTTAACATATACTTCACTAAGTCCATTTGAACTTGCATGCGTGGGACTTGAAGTTTCGTGTTTAATGTTCCATTGTTTAAGGAAGTTCTGAAATTGTTCGCTAGTAAAGCATGTCCCATTGTCAGTTTTTAACTTCTCACAGATACCAAATCTGCTGAGATGTACCTTAAGTTTTCTTAAAATACAAGTACTAGAAGTGCTAGTCAATAGGTCGAACTCAAAATATCGACTGTAAGCGTCAACAAGAACCATAAAATATTGACCATTCCACGTAAATAAATCACATGATAAATATTGCCATGGTCTTTGGGGTATATCATGAGGATGTAATGGTTCCTTTTTATTTGAGTCTCTATATTTACAACAAATCTGGCACTTAAGTACATAATCTGTAATTTGTTTTGACATTGATGGCCAAAACATTATATCCCTAGCCCGTCTTGTCGTTTTTTCTACACCAAAATGACCCACATGTACTGCGTTAGTCATGTCCTGTCTTAATGATTTTGGTATTACAATTTTTTTACCCTTGAACACAATATTGTCTTCAAAAGCCAATTCGTCTCTATGATTCCAGTATTCTGATACAGTCGTAGGGCAATTTCGTCTGTCGTCAGGCCATCCGTTAGAAATGACACCAATAAGCGTTTGTAACTGAGCATCATTTTGCGTTGCTGTTTGAATTTCCTGCAATTTTAAATCACTTATCGGTAGTGATTTCAGTACAGTGTGTACATGTGTTTCTAATCCGTCAATCAGATTAGGAAAAGTGTCAGTTACGTAATTCCGGCTGAGAGCATCTCCAAGCGGAATATCTTTACCTCTACAGTGAATAACATCGAGGTCAAAATCTTGAAGTTGTAATAACATCCGTTGTAACCTAGGCGGGGCACTATAAAGTGGTTTTCTCATAATAGATACTATCGGTTTACAGTCAGATTCGACAACCGTGCGCCGTCCGTAAATATAATGCTTAAATCTAGTGCATCCAAATAATATTGCCAGCATCTCTTTTTCTATTTGTGCGTATCCTTTCTCGGTCAATGTCAGTGTTTTTGAAGCGTATGCAATTGGTTTACCATTTTGTAAACAACAAACACCAAGCCCTTTGGACGAAGCATCCAATTGTAATCTAACAGGCTTCGATGAATCATAGTAACTGAGGACAGGTGCTTGTGTAATCACTTGTTTAACCTTGCCAAAAGCGTCAGATTGGGCTGAATCCCATCTGAACTCTACGTCATTGCGTAATAACTCTCGCATCGGGCTAGTTATTTCCGAGAGATTTTGTGGGAATTTTGTCAAGTATGTAATCATACCCAGCAGGGTTTCAAGCTCAGCACGATTTGCAGGATTTTTCATTTCGATAATTGCGCTAATTTTCTCAGGGTCAGGTTTCAGTCCATCAGCACTGATCACGTGACCGAAATATTTAACCTCTGTTAGACCTATTTTCAGTTTGTCAGGGTTAAATCGTAAACCGGCTGCCTTTGCTCGGTCGAGTACGTTCTTAAGGTTTCTGTCATGTTCTGTGCGTGTGCTTCCAAACACTAATAAATCGTCAATTATTGACGTCACACCCTGTAAACCTTCAAATGTCTCATCAATTTTCCGTTGGAAAATGTCTTGAGAACTTCTTATGCCCATAGGAAGTCTTAAATATTTGTACCGTCCAAATACCGTGTTAAATGTCGTTAGTGACGATGAGTGGTCGTCTAATTTAATTGACCAGTAACCTTTAGTCGCGTCTAATACACTGAAGTATTTAGGGGCATGCAATTTTGACGTAATGTCGTCAATAGTACGTAATACGGCCTTTGTATATTTTCATTCAATGCTTTGGGGTCAAGACAGATTCTAAGCTTACCGGTTGAAGGTTTCTCAACACATACTAGTGAATTTACCCAGTTTGTAGGTTCTGTAACCTTACAAATAATTTGTTTTGACTCCATTGAGTCGAGCTCTTTTTTAAGCTTATCTCTGAGTCCAAAAGGTACTTTTCTAGGTGGACAAACAACTGGTACAGCATTTTCCTTCAAATGCAATGAACATGTTCCAGGAAATAACCCTATCCCATGAAACAATTCTTTGTACTCTCTAAGTACAGTGTCCTTACTTATGTCAGATGCGTCAATAGATTCAATCTTATTGACCGAATACGTTAATCTTAACAGATCTAAATCTATAGATGTTTTAAGGCTTAACAGCGGGGTAGCAAAACTCTCAACTACATAAAATTCGGAACACACTGATTTGTTATTGTATTTACAGTGTAACCATAATTTTCCAAGCACTGGTAATCGGTCACCTGTGTACGAAGTTAACCTTGCTTTGGAGGCTTCCAAAGGGTGTTTTATTTTCAGTTGCCTAAATATGTGATTTGGGAGGCAATTTATTTGTGAACCTGTATCAATTTTGCAATTAATATTGGTAAACTTATCTTGTGTGCCAATCAAAACATTTACAAAAACTTGATCAGGAGAAGATGAAAAAGAATTTACCGTGTGAACAAAGAATTCTTGGCCATTCTCGCCGTCAGATTCACACACGTAATCCACAGTATCACCTTCATAATGTAACTCGTGCACAGATTTAAATTTACATTGTTTTGAAAAATGATTAAATCGTCCACATTTGAAACATGTTTGTCCCTGTGCTGGACATTCACTAGAATTGAAATGTTTATTTCCACATCTGTCACATTTTTTTCTATAATCTTCAAATCGTTGTTGTCGTCGTTGTTGTTGTTGTTGCTGATGAGGTGGCATCTTCCGGTCTCTCTGGTGTGTATCTCTTCCGTTACCTCGTCTCAAATGTCGATTTATCGCATCAACAGACTGTTGAGATGTCGTAGATCCGCTAGCGATTGCTTGTGCCTGAGACTGACTCAATTCGTACGTATGAGCAACATCTACGCATTTTTCAAGTGTTAGATCTGAGCCTTCCACAATCAGTTTTTCTCTGATTTTGCTAGATCTTACTCCAAAAACAATATGGTCGCGAATAAGATCTTGTTGCATGCCCACAGGATAATCACAATCTTTGATTAGCGTTTTCAGTTCTGTAACGAATTGTTCAAACGGTTCGTTTTCCTGTTGTGCTCTTGATTTAAAAAGATATCTGTTGTATATTATGTTACTTTTTGGTTTGCAATATTCTTCGAATTTATCATAGTATGATTTAAGTTTCTTTCTCTGATCGTTTGATAAGTCCCATGTTGAGTATATTTGTCGGCCCTTTTCACCGACCCATAACATCAAATAGTTACATTGAATTTCTTCCGTTTTACTTGCCAACGGCCCTTTAAACATGAATTCTGAATGTTCTTTGAATCTCTTAAACGCGCTGTTTAAGTCCTTCGAATCCCAGTCCATACGCGGATTTTGTTGATGATTATTTTCCATATTTCTTATAACTCCGTTATAAACATACAATTATAAAGCGTTTTACTGTAAAAATTATAATCCGTTTACTTCTGACACCATGTTGTATTATGAGTATATTTATTAATATGTACACAGAGCGTGCACTTGTAATATATAACACAGACATGTGTTACTAGTTCTATAGTTTAATGATAACTCAATATTCCAAGTATATAAGTGGCGGGAAGATAATGGACATGCGCATTACAGTATAAGATATTATTAAGATGAAACATATGTTTACAATATACAACACTTGTACGTTACAAAAGTATTTTAAATGCCTTGTATTGAAGCAATATTTAATTATAACGTATCTTTGTTAAAATGTATTCATGCAATCATTGTTTATTTTATATCAATTGAAAAGTATATTTTTCCCGCGCTTTGAACAATTTCCCGCGCTTTGAACAATTTCCCGC